AACCTCACTTCTTCACTTGCATCTGAAGAAGTGAGGTTCTTACCCACGAAAGCTTATGCTCCCAATACTTCTGTTAGTCTCTAAGGTGCCACAGGACCCTCTGTTGCTTTTTACAGATTCAGACTAACACGGCTACCCCTCTGATACTAAACTGTGCTTGTAATCCCTACAGACAGTCCTTCCAGTTCAGGATGGAGGGATACTGATGGAGCAGCATGGGGAAGCTTGCACTGCCAATGTCAGCACTGCACCTTCATTGTGGGTGAACAGAAGACTTTGGTTGCCAGGGCTGTCAAACAAACATCTTTCATGAGCACTAAATGAATTGTGCGCTTGTTTTAATGTAAACACCTTTTCACATCTGCAATAATTAATTATATTGGGTTAGATCCTCAACTGGTGTAAATCCTTTAAGACAATGGAGTAACTCCAGTTTACACCAGCTGAGGATCTGACCCATTATCTCAATGATAGAATTAAAATAACTATTTCAGAGAATAATCTAATAAAATGTTAACTATGATCTTGCTATTGCTCCATCCTATTATTGATACCTGTATTCCTTCTAAAGTTTCCCTATCTCCCTATATGAATATGGAAAGGCATCGCCACTAGAGCACAGTTGCCATCAATATTTTTATACTTAAATATTCTGTACAGTAATCATTTTGGTATATCCATATGATTGAAGAAAAAGATTTCTTTTTTCATGATGAAGGCCTGAGTCCAGCTGAACTTCCATTACTTTCCAAACCTTCTCTTTCTAGGAGTCACCCTAGCTGCTGCTGCAGTATGTTTTTTTAAATGTATGGAATGGGGTAGTGAGGGAGGGGTTCAAAGACAAGTGGCCTCATCCAAGGTTGACAGTAATGTTTCTCTACTATGGGACAGTTCCTAAAAATTACTATGGGTTTGCAATACCCACTGAAATCAATGGAGGTTGTAGATGCTCAGCAGCTCAGGATTAGGTCCTAATGGCCTGATCTAAAGTCCATTAAAATCAATGGAAAGATTCCCATTGACTTCATTGGGCGGTGGATCAGTTCCTCAGTGATTGTTAAACAATGTTATAGCTAAGGCTACAATTTAGTCACTGGTATTTTTAGTAAAAGTCATGGACAGGTCAGGGGCAATAACCAAAAAGTCATGTGCTGGTGACCTGTCCATGATTTTTACTAAAAATACCCCTAACTAAATCTTGGGTGCTGGGGAAGGGGAGGTGCTTCCGGGGATTCTGCTGATCGTGGGGGAACACTCCGAGTCCGGACCCCACTGTTGCTGAGGTGGCAGGCGACCCGGGGCCCTCCTGCCGCTGCTGCTGGGGAGGGGGCAGCTCAGTGTCCCCCCACCTCTGCTGCTGCTCCACCTCCGCCCTGCGGCCGCTGGTGTGTGTGTGTGACCCGGGATCCTCCGGCTGCCACTGCTGCTCTGGACGGGAGGCAGCCCAGGCCCCCGCTGCTGGGGGAGAAGGCATAGCCCAGGGCGCTGCTTCTGCTCCTCCGGACCGCTGCTCCGGAGCAGCACATGGGACCAGCTGCCTGGGGTCTCCTGAGCAGCGGCCTATCCGGCTGGCCCCAGGGTCACCCCAGCTGCTTGGGCAGCCTTGGGGTCAGTAACACCAGCTACTGCAGAAGTCACTGAGGCCCCGGAAAATCATGGAATCCGTGACTTCTGTGAAAGACTTGCAGCCTTAATCATAGCTAAAGAAAGTAAAAGGTGCAAGTAACATCAAATGATAGGAAGGAATGGGAAGATGCTTGCTACCTGTATGCCTACAACAGCTACCTAAAGCATGTTTACATATCTTTCAAAATTAGCTCTTTAGTCTTAGGTATATGATTCTCTTGCCTAAAGGGCACATTTTCATTTGGATATGGGCACTTATCTTCACTTGTTGGTGCATAAGTTGTCATAACATTCATGGCTGCAGCAGCTACTTATGATATCTTTGTTGTCATCACAATGCTGAAATAAAAAGTTTTATCTGGTACTCTCATATGTGAGGCAAATGTAGAACTGAAATAGTAGCAATGTAAACTGTATTGTTACACATTTTTGACCCAAGTGGATGAGGTTCCAAATCTGTCCAGGCACTTCATAGCTGCTGCTCCAACAGGGATCTCATCTTGGTCTGCAAGTTATCATTGAGCCCTTTTTGGGCTCTTGTTTTAGATCTTATTGTAGGGCTTGTATTACATTCTTTTTCTGAAGCTTGTTTTAGGTCTAGCTTTAATTCAATTTGGCCTGTGGTTAGATGTTTCGCTGCGTGTGTGCGTTCTTCCTATGCTGCCCCAGCTCTAAGCAAACAGCCGGCACAGCAGACCTTGAGTGAACTATCCAATGACCACCAGATCCGTTAAGGTACAAAGGTGTCAGACCAGGTTTATTGTCGACAAAGCATGGTAATAGCACCTGGCAGACTCTATGAGGATACTAAGACCTGTATGCCTATGACAATGGACGCAGCTCAGTGAATGGTGGGACTTTTCATTCCCCCCATCGGCTGGCCAAAGATACTTCCTTTAAGATATATTTTTATACCCTGATACAAACAAGTTATGTGCTGCCTTTGACATAGTTAGTTACTGCTCCCTGACATGGCTTGTTATCACCCATCACCTTGTACATGTTGGTTTGATTAAAACTTCTTTATTTTGTACTGTTATCCTAACCGTATCTTTTAGAATGGGTCAGTATGCTCCTGTTATCCTTGGGAATTTTTTTTGTACCATTCTTAATATTGGGATGTTCTGGCCACCATTTAATATCAGGATCTATTTGTGTGATTACTCTGTGCTTAGCAATTCTTAGGAATGTGTATTTTTGCAATATTAGCCCTGTTCTTGCCAGATTCTGTGAGCAGGTCCTGCCTCATACCAGACCTCTGATACAAGGGCTTATGTCCCAGGCTCTCTTCCTACTACATGGCCATCTTTGATTTCTGCAAGCACTGCCATCATTTCTTCTATCTTGGTTCAACAGGTACACCACCTCATAACCTCTCTCCTTGGAAAGCGGATCCCACCTTTGACATCAGTGTTACCCCTTTTTAACTCAAGCGATTAGTCAAAATTCAGGGCCCTGAGGTTGTTCCAGTTGGGAGTAGAAATTGATGATGGAATCTGGTATTTTCTTTGATGCAATCTTGTTTATTGACAAGAAATGTACAAAGTCCTACTTCTTTGAATGTAGGAGAAACCAAAAAATGGGGACAGCTTCTTTGCCTACTTCCCCTAGCCCTGTATCTAGCACCACACCCAGAACCTTCCTGTAGGCTTCTCCAGGGTCACACCATGCTCTCAGGCTGCCACTTGGCTTTCTTTCTGCCTTTGAGTCTCTCTCATTCAGTCTGTTCTGTCTTCCCTCTCAATCAAATACACACAATACCGAGCAAAATCCCTCTGCCCAAAATAGGTAGAAAAGGTAGGTTTCACAGCCCTTTTTGTCATGGACTGAATAAAGACACCAGATTTATGGCTTATTACAATAATCTGTAACCAACTAATAACAACCACCTCCTCCAGCTGCCTCCACCCCCCATTCCTTTCCTCCCTATGACTGGAGGGGTATGAATGGGCCACTTCACCTTGAATGGTCCCTTGAAATACGTTAACTACTTATGCTAAACAATCTGTGCCATCTTGTATTTAGCAGTGACACTTGGTGTTAGGCTTGGTCTGCACTACAGAGTTAGGTCAACATAAGTCAGCTTATGTCAACCTAACTATGTCAGTGTCTATACTAAAGCCTTGCTCCTGCCAATGTAACTCCACAAGAGGCGTAGGGTTTATGTCAGTGTAGTCAGGGCAATGCAGTGTGTGTAGACACTGCTGGCTGTTGGCTGTCTTGTCAATTTCACAGCTTCAGTGGAGCTGTGAAATTGACAAGAAAGCCAGCTCCAGGATCCCCTGCCAAGCTGGGCTACTGTCTGGACTCCCCACTGGGAGCCCTGCTGCCCCCTGGGTCCTGGCTCCCTGCTGGGAGCACAGCAGCTGACTGGAGTCCAGCAGGAGGCGAGAAGTCCTGCACAGCTAGCTTCCCCACCACTCCTCGCTGGGAGTGGGGAGGCGAGAAGCTGGCAGTGCCCAAACGGCCCCTCTTCAGTCAATGGAAGCGCTTCTGGTGAGGATGTGCACCACTAACAGAAGAGGGGTAGTGTGGAGGGTAAGTCAAACTAACATAGCTCGATTTAAAATTGTAGTGTAGACATGCCTTTAGTTTCCCAGACCTGAAGAAGAGCTCTGTGTAAGCTCAAAAGCTTCTCTCTCTCACCAACAGAAGTTGATCCAATAGATATTACCTCATACACGTTACCCCTCTGAATGGGACAGTCATTAAGGGGCCTTAAAAATGCAATAAGCCTTCCCCTAGAACAAATGGATTGCTGCAACCTAGGTAAAACCAGTTTTTTTATTTAAGAGTGAACTCTAGATAAGTGGTAACCAAGCAACAGGCCACCTGATAGCAAATCTTGATCACCTGAGCAGGGTCTTTGAGGTTGACCAGGAGAATGAGAGGACAAAAGGGTTGGGAATTATAAGTTCTAAAAGGACCAGGTCTGGTCTGAGCATGAGTAATGCTCTCGCTGTCCAGAACAGAAAGAGAAGACTGAACTGAGGTTCAGGAGAGGGGACCTGGAGACCCCTGAAGGCACTGACTAAATTCCACTGAATGCTCAGGGATGGTGAGGAAACTATGGCTGTGAACCAAGTACAGGTGTTTCTCATTTTGCATGGATCTGTATATCTCTTGTGGAGGCTAAAGAAATGGTTAGTTTAGCAATCCTTCTGGAAAGTCTGTGTCTTCTTTGCCTCAACTACCACATCTTCCTGAAGGACAAACTGAATCAGAGCAGCACCCACAAGGGTGGAGTTCTGGGAAAGGCACAATTAATCATCTGTCAAGTATCAGGGGGTAGCCGTGTTAGTCTGTATCTACAAAAACAACAAGGTGCATCTGAAGAAGTGAGGTTTTTACCCATGAAAGCTTATGCCCAAATAAATCTGTTAGTCTTTAAGGTGCCACCAGACTCCTTGTTGTTTTAATTAATCATCTGGGGAGTCTTGTGGAGTTTAGGACTGGTCTTGAGGCTAAGGCCAAAGGAAGAGACAGTGAGGGGAGCATACCCAGACCCAGGGGAGCTAGGAACACATGGCTCCACTGAGTTCAAACATACATAGGTACCTGGTGAGTGCCCAACAAAGGGCAGCTAGAGCAGGTCTGTGGTGTGCTTTGGGGACAGGCTGTTGTGTGCATTGTGAGTTGCTGTACAGGTTTGTGGCTGTTGTCTGGAGGTCAATGGGGTGTGTGTGCTGTAGCCATAGGGCTGACCCTCCTGCTCTCCGCCCCACACCCATCCCCCTCGAGGGGCAAGCGGCAGGGAACGAATCAGGGCTCCTCCCTGCACCGGGCGTGGCCCCGCCCCACGGTCCTGTGCCCTCCCGCTACACCTGGCAGGGGGCCGGGAAAGGGCAGAGCGGTTCGGAGGCCTAAGTTGTCCCGCTCGACGGCCCGTTGGGGTCTCCACTACCTGAGAAACCGACCGGCCGGTGCTCGCGGCAGGTAGCGGGGGGAACCGACGCGAGCTAGGGACACTATCATTATCGGGCTGGGGCGAGTCCTAACGGGACGAACACGCCCCCCCAGGCCCAGCGGGGGAGGGGGGCGGCGCTACAGTGAGTGACGTAGTTGGTTTGACCACGTGCCCGCTGTCTCCCTGGAAACAGCGACACATGGCTATGCCGGCGTTAGCGCCCGTCCCTCCCCCGCGGTGTGAGCTACGCGGAGTCACCCGCCGCGGGGCCCGGACCTAGAGCCAACGTTAAACGGCAGTAGGGGAGCAGCGTGTCCCCCTCCCCCTGTGTGCACAGGGAGCCCTGGGGCGGGGCTGGCCACGGGAGAGAAACGCTGACCGGGCTGGTCTACACCAGCCCCACGCAATGCTCAGTCTCGCGCTGTCCCAGCTGCGGCACGTTAGCGGCGGGTGTCTGTTGGAAGCGCGCACCTGATGCGCCCACTTTAATTTGGGAGCCGAGTGTGAACATCCCAGTGGGCAGGGTGAAATTGACCGGCGCGTGGCTGGGCCGCTCGAGTCCAGTCCAGCGATCATCTCCCTTAAGCCTTATTGTGAGCGTTTAAGTCAGGTATGTATGAGCCTTGTGCTGATCATAGGGGTGAATTATTACACCCATGAAAAGTTCCCTTGAGTTTTAGGAGTAGGTGTGTGAAAGCTGGTAAACAAGGGCTTGCTGTGCTGGGAAGTAATCTACACAATCATTTTTAAACAGTAAATTATAATCAAAACTAAAAAATATTCTTTAAGGCTTTGGTTCTCAATCTCAACCCTTTGGGGCTCAGGCCCCACTGGTAAACCTGGATGGCTTGTGGCAACCCAGTAAGTAGGTTTTGTGCCCTCCCTGCCCACCACCCAAAATCTGGTTTATTAAATATTTCTGACCCAGAATATATAATATACACACTAACGTAATAAGTACACCATGTGTACCTAGTGGTGGCTTCTGTCGTGCTGGGCTTGGCTTCCCACTCTTTTTGACCTTTGGGATCACAGCACTGCTCAGGCTTGGCCCAGTCCCCGCTAATGAGGGCTGAGCTGGGTCAAATTTGTGAGAGTGGTGTCGTGACCTGGTAGACGGGATTGTAATACTTATCGTGATGGAGGGGCAGCTGGGTCAAACCTGTGGGTGCTGCAACACTTGGAATGGGGAGCCAAGTTTAGCTAGCCTTGTGGGACTGGAGCTACAGGATCTGCCTTTGTGAGGTTAGTATAAGGCAGGCTCTGTATCTTGCCAGCTTTGTAATATTTAAAAACCGGACACTCCAGCAGGAGGGCCGGAACCTCCACATAAGAACAGCCATACTGGGTCAGACTCAAAGGTCCATCTAGCCTAGTATCCTGTCTTCTAACAGTTGCCAATCCCAGGTACCCCAGGGGGAATAAACAGGTAATCATCAAGTGATCCATTCCCTGTCACTCATTCCCAGCTTCTGGCAAATAGAGGCTAGGGACAGCATCCCTGTCTATCCTGGCTAATAGGTCCATCAATGGCTATCTTCCATGAATTTATCTAGTTCTTTTTTTGAACCCTGTTCTAGTCTTGACCTTCACAACATCCTCTGGCAAAGAATTCCACAGGTTGACTGTGTGTTGTGTGAAGAAATACTTCCTTTTGTTTGTTTTAAATCTGCTGCCTATTAATTTAATTTGGTGCCCCCTAGTTCTTGTGTTAGGAGGAGTAAATAACACTTCCTTATTTATTTTTCTCCACACCAGTCATGATTTTATAGACCTCTATTGTATCCCCCCTTAGTTATCTCTTTTCCAAGCTGAAAATTCCTAGTCTTATTAATATCTCTTGTACAGCAGCCATTCCATACCCCTAATAATGTATGTTTGCCATTTTCTGAACCTTTTCCAATTCCAATATATCTTTTTTGAGCTGGGGTGACCACATCTGCACATGATGCACTATTCAAGATGTAGGTGTACCATAGATTTATATAGAGACAATATGATATTTTCTGTTATCTATCCAGATATCTAACAGCGGGAGTTTGCCTGGGAGTTCGCCTTGGGGGAGTTCCCTCAGATTTTTTTGTCTTTCAGGCTTCTGTGAGCAGTAAATACAGCATCTGAAGAGGTTTCAGAGTGGTAGCCATATTAGTCTGTATCAGCAAAAACAATGAGGAGTCCTTGTGGTACCTTAGAGACTTAGAAGGAAGACAATATAGCTAGTGAGCGATCAGCTGTTGTGACTTGCACAGGATGTGCCATGTTTGTCCTTCTCCCAGAGGATAGAAGTGACTTGGTCTGTAGTGCAAGTTGGTCTCCATATTGGAAGAGAAGATTAAAGGACTAGAGCCCCAAGTATCAACCTTGCGTTGCATCAGAGAAAATGCTGACTTTCTGGATAGAAGTCAGCATTTGGTCCTGCAGGCACAGCATGCTGAAGCATCAGAGAGGGCAGTGAAGAATGGGGAAGAAAAGCAGCATGTGACCTCCAGAAGAAGAAAGAGGAGAACCCATGTATCCCCAATACAGATAGAGGTAAGAAACTGTTTTCAGGCTCTCTGCACAGGTACTACAGCAGAGAATGGTTTGGAAGAGTCATCTGAGGGAAGGGATCAGAAGAAGACCCCATTGACCAGAAGACATGGGATGCATTGCCTTAGGGATGGGGGTTCCACAACCACCACTCCCAAGAGGAGGAAATGGGTGGTGATGGTCGGGGGCTCCCTCCTAAGGGTGACGGAATCATCCATCTGCTGTCCAGACTGGGAATCTCGAGAAGTGTGCTGCTTGCCTGGAGCTAGAATTCAGGACATGACTGTCTGCTGAGACTGATCAAGCCTTCGGACTGCTACCCCTTCCTACTTCACCAATGATACTGCCAAAAATGACCTTGAGCAAGTCACTGCAGACTACATGGTTCTGGGAAGAAGGATAAAGGAGTTTGAGGCGCAAGTTGTGTTCTCATCCATCGGGTCCAGGTAGGGACCATCGAATTGTGGAAGTAAATGCGTGGTTGCGCAGGTGGTGTTGGAGAGTGGGCTTTGGATTCTTCAACCATGGGATGTTATTCCAGGAAGAAAGATTGCTAGGAAGAGATGGGATCCACCTAACAAAGAGAGGGAAGAGCATCTTCACAAGCAGGCTTGCTAACCTAGTGAGGAGGGCTTTAAACTAGGTTTGCCAGGGGATGGAGATCTAAGCCCTGAGGGAAGTGGGATACTGGGAGGAAACACAAGGGGGAGGGTGCAACAGGGGAGGCCTCCTGATTCATAATGAGAAAGTAGGGCAATCGGCTAGCTATCTTAGGTGCCTGTACATGAATGCAAGAAGCCTGGGAAACAAGCAGGAAGAATTGGAAGTCCTGGCACAGTCAAATTGGAATAACAGAGACTTTGTGGGGTAACTCACATGACTGGAGCACTGTCATGGATGGGTATAAATTCTCCAGGAAGGACAGGTGGGGAAGAAAAGGTGGGGTTGCACTGTATGTAAGAGAGCAGTATGATTGCTCAGAGCTCCAGTATGAAACCAGAGAAAAGTCTTGAGAGTCTTTGGGTTAAGTTTAGAGGTGAGAGCAACAAGGATGGTGGGCGTTGGCTAACAGCGTTTCTCAAACTGAGGTCTGCAGATTCCTGGGGATCTGTGAGAGTACTCTAGGGGGTCCGTGGGCCCCACTGACAAACTCCTCCCCCTTCCTCACAGTACTTCCTGCTTGCTGCTGAACAGCTGTTCCCTGGTGTGCGGGAGGCTCTGGTAGAGTTGCCTGCCTGGGGCTAAGGCAGGTTCCCTACCTGCCCTGATTCTGTGCAGTTCCTGGAAGTGGCCGCTAGGTCTCTATGGCCCCTAGGCACATGGGCAGCCAGGGAGTCTCCGTGTCCTGCCCCTGCCCAAATGCTAGCTCCGCGGCTCCCATTGACCAGGAACCACGACCAATGGAAGCTGCAGGGGTGGCGCCTGGGTGCGTGAGGGCAGCGCGTGGAGCTTCACTGGCCACCCATGTAGCTAGGGGCCACAGAGACCTGGCAGCTGCTTCGTGGGAGACATGGTAAGCGCCTCTGGGACCCCACACCCTGAACATCTTCTGTACCCCAACCCTCTGCCCCAGCCCAGAGTCCCCTCCCACACCCAAACTCCCTCCCAGAAGCTGCATCCCTACCCTCTGCCCCAGCCCTGAGCCAACTCCTGCACCCCAAACCCTTCATCCAGAGCCCACGCCCCCAGCCAGAGCCAACACCCCTACCCCAGCCCTGAGCCCCCTCCCACACCCAAATTCCCTCCTGGAGTCTGCATCCCCCCCACACCCCAACCTAGTGAAAGTGAGTGAGGGTGGGGGGGGGAGAGTGAGCAACAGAAGGAGGGGGGGATGGAATGGGCAGGGGGCGGGGCCTCGGAGAAGGGGCAGGGTAGGGGGTCCCTGGAAATTTTTAAATAAAAATGGGGGTCCTCGGGTTGCTAAAGTTTGAGAACCGCTAGACTGTAAGGTGGATAGAAAGCTGGCTAGATCGTCGGGCTCAACAAGTAGTGATCAACAGCTCAATGTCTAGTTGGCAGCCGGTTTCAAGCGGAGTGCCCCAGGGGTTGGTCCTGGGGCCAGTTTTGTTCAACATCTTCATTAATGATCTGGATGATGGGATAGATTGCACTCTCAGCAAGTTCACAGATGACACTAAGCTGGGAGGAGAGGTAGATATGCTGGAGGGTAGGGATAGGGTCCAGAGGGACCTAGACAAATTGGAGGATTGGACCAAAAGAAATCTGAGATTCAGCAAGGACAATTGCAGAGTCCTGCACTTAGGATGGAAGAATCCCATGCACTGCTACAGGCTGGGGACTGACTGGCTCAGCAGCAGTTCTGAAGAAAAGGATGTGGGGATTACAGTGGACGAGAAGCTGGACATGAGTCAACAGTGTGCCCTTGTTGCCAAGAAGGCTAACGGCATATTGGGCTGCATTAGTAGGAGCATTGCCAGCAGATCAAGGGAAGTGATTATTCCCCTCTATTCCGCACTGGTGAGGCCACACCTGGAGTATTGTGTCCAGTTTTGGGCTGCCAACTACAGAAAGGATGTGGACAAATTGGAGAGTCCAGCGGAGGGCAACAAAAATGATCAGGGGGCTGGAGCACCTGACTTACGAGGGAACTGGGTTTATTTAGTCTGCAGAAGAGAAGAATGAGTGGGGATTTGAGAGCAGCCTTCAACTACCTGGAGGGGAGTTCCAAAGAGGATGGAGCTCGGCTGTTCTCAGTGGTGGCAGATGACAGAACAAGGAGCAATGGTTTCAAATTGCAGTGAGGGAGGTCTAGGTTGGATATTAGGAAAAACGATTTCACTAAGAGGGTGGTGAAGCACTGGAATGGGTTACTTAGGGAGGTGGTGGAATCTCAATCCTTAGAGGTTTTTAAGGCCCAGCTTGACAAAGCCCTGGGATGATTTAGTTGGGGTTGGCCCTGATTTAAGCAGGGAGCTGGACTAGATGACCTCCTGAGGTCTCTTCCAACCCTAATCTTCTATGATTCTATCTCTTAATGACTCCCAATGTTCTGTTCACTGTTTTGACTGCCGCTGCACATTGAGTGGATGTTTTCAGAGAACTATCCAGAATGACTCCAAGATCTTTCTTGAGCGGTAACAGCTAATTTAGACTCCATCATTTTATATGTATAGTTGGGATTATGTTTTCCAATGTGCATTACTTTGCATCTGCTACTCTGCTGCCCAGTCACCCAGTTTTGAGAGACCCTTTTGTAGCTCTTTGCAGTCTGCCTGAGACGTAACTATCTTGAATAGTTTTGTATCATCTGCAAATTTTGCCACCTCACTATTTACCCCTTTTTCCAGATCATTTATGAATGTGTTGAATAGGACTGGTCCCAGTACAGCCCCCTGAGAGGACATCACTATTTACCTCTCTCCATTCTGAAAACTGACCATTTATTTCTACTCTGTTTCCTGTCTTTTAACCAGTTATGAAACCATGAGAGAACCTTCCCTCTTCTCCGATGACTGCTTACTTTGCGTAAGAGCCTTTAGTGAGGGACCTTGTCAAAGGCTTTCTGAAAATCTAAGTACACTAGATCCACTGGATCCCCCTTGTCCACATGCTTGTTGATCCCCTCAAATAATTCTAGTAGATTGGTGAGGCATAATTTTCCTTTACAAAAATCACGTTGACTATTCCCCAACAAATTATGTTCATCTATGTGTCTGACAATTTTGTTCTTTACTATAGTTTCTACCAGCTTTCCCGGTACTGAAGTCAGGCTTACTGGCCTGTAATTGCCGGGATCGCCTCTGGAGCCCTTTTTAAAAATTGGCATCACATTAGTTATCCTCCAGTCATTTGGTACAGAAGCTGATTTAAATGATAGTTTACAGACTGCAGTTAGTAGTTCTGCAATTTCACGTTTGAGTTCCTTCGGAACACTTGGGTGAATACCAAAAGGATGCCTTTTTGCCTCTCACTGCTTCTCTTACTTTGTTGTTTAGCCACGGTGGCACTTTTTTGTTTCTCTTACTATGTTTTTTAATTTGGGGTATACATTTAAGTTGAGCCTCTATTATGGTGTCTTTAAAAAGTTTCCATGCAGCTTGAAGGGATTTCACTTTTGGCACTGTACTTTTTAAATTTCTGTTCCACTAACCTCATTTTTGTGTAGTTCCCCTTTCTGAAATTAAATGCCAGCTCCGCCTCTTCCCCCCCCCCAAGGCCCTACTCCCCATTTGTTCCTCTTCCCTCTCACCACTGTCGTTCACTGCTCTTCCCCCTCCCCCCTTCTGCCCTTGTTGGGAGGGAGTCATTTGCGGAGCTGCAGCCGCCTAACGCAGGTAGGAGCCAGCCCTGGCTGTGTAGGGACTGGTGCAGGTGTTGACCCGATGCCTCCCACACCCGCAATAACCATGCTTTGGGTGTCTGGTCAGGAGATTTGACTGGACACTGTCAGGTCCCCTGTTTGACCAGACTTCCGGTCAAAAACCGGGCACTTGATCACGCTATCTGTACTCCTTATCCCTCCCCACAGGCTTGCCACATAATCCTTTGACGTATTCTGATTACCCAATTTTGGGTCATGGTCCGCAGGTATATTATCTAACTTTTCATGCAGAACACTGTCAGATTTTTGGAATTATTCTTTTAATATTGTCATTCCTCTACAAGACATCACTGGGCACAATCCTGCAAGATGCAGAAAGCCTCTTTTGTAAAACTGAGGTACTCTTTATCTCCAATTGTTCAGGGTATTTGGCACTTTCAGAACTAGGCACAATGTCCAATAATCTGGCTCTGGGAGTATTCATACTGGATGATTTGGAAGATGGCAAAATGGAAAAAACAAAAAAATCTTAATGAGAACTTAGTGATATTCTAATGTGATGTTTATTTCAGATGTATTATGGAAAGCCCAGTGGACCTTTGTTTTACTGAAGAAGGATGTAGCCATGACATAGTTCTTGAGAAACAAGTGTTTAGATCCAAAGTGCCAGAGTCTCATGTTCAACTTGCTTGTAATCTACATTACTGTGCTTTTCCTTTGAATGGAAATGAGCTATGTATCTGGAATACTGGCGATAGCTCTGCTCATCATCAGGTAAAAACCAAAACTTGTGTGTTTAGATTTTCAGTGTAATATTCTAAAGAGCACTAAAATTGATGATAAACAGAAAAACGTTGGGTTTGGTACATCATTTTTTGCAGTGTAGGCTATTGTCCTTACTAGACTTCACATTTTATATCTGGAATGTGGACAATTATTTATTTTGGCAAGCAGGCAGTAAGCCATAATGCAGTTCAGTGAATGGATTTTAATCATTAAAGAAAATTCAGTTTGGATGAATAATTGAGCATTGCTAGTTATTCAGATAAGTGTTAATTATATTTTTTTCCCTCTTATTTGCTATGTCTTCATCATCATTGGAAATGATCTATGGACATAAAAAAATGTTATATTTGCCAGCCATTGCACTTGGTAGGACACCACCATTCAATCACGGCACTGGCATTTGGAAGTAAAATCAATCCACTTCTTGTCTGTTCTGCTTCTTGTGACTATGTGATAGTATGGAACCTGGATGAGTGCTCAAAGAAAGCACTTCAAGGTAAGGTGGTTTTTATAGAAAAGTTACTTTTGAGTAGCAAGTGGTAAATGTGACTTCTTAAGGCTAGACTCTGCCACCCTTCATCATGATGTGTAGTACCTTTATTCTTTGATTAGTCTCATAGGAATTACCATGGATCAGATCAGCAGACTTTCTCCTGAGGGAGAAGTTCGCTAGAATACTTAGGAGGATGTTAAATTAATAGCAAAAGGAAAGGGTAGAAAGAGGGAAGATATGAGTACTCAGCATAACACTGAGAGGTTGAGAACAAAATTAATCAAGGAACCAAAGGACACGAAGAGAATAAATTCTTGAATTGCCTGTAGTCTGAACTGAATCCAAACCAATGCTGGGAGCCTGTGTAACAAACAAGAGGAATTGGAATTGCTCATTTATGAGCATAATTTCAATCTAGTTGGTGTTACTAAAACCTAATGGGATGATTCATGCTCATGGCATGTTTAACAAAAATGGTTAGAACCTATTTAGGAAGGACCAAGTTGGCAAATGGGAGGGAGGATGGCACTCTGTCAAAAATGGCATTACCTGTATGAATTACTTGTAACTTGGAAGAAAATTATCTTGAATGCTTATGGATCAATGTCCTAACAGATAAAGCACAAGATGGACTATTAGTTGGTATTTGCTACGGACCATCAAATCACAATAGGGAACAGGATAATTGCTTCCTTATGCACTTATCTGTAATGTGTAAGGGGGGGGGGGAAGTTGTGTGATCATGGGGGAATGTCAATTTGAGTGACGTATGCTGGAGGTCTCATGCTGCCAGTACTAAACATCCTCGGATGTTCTAAACAGTATAGATGACAATTGTTCTAACTCAAAAAGTGTCGCAACCAACATGGGGGAATTCTTTATTAGACCTCCTCCTAACAGATAAAGAGGAACTGATCATAGAAATAAAAAATATTGGTAGCTTAGGTACAAGTGATCATGACTTGATCACATTTATAATGTGCATGCAAAATAAAGTCCAGACCAGGTAGAGGTGTAGGTGTGTGTGTGTGTGAATGATAATTGAGTGTCATTTAAGAACCCCTTACTGGATGCCTCAAATGCCACAATCCTACAATCAAGGAAAAAGGCCATAATGGTTAAAAATATCAATCTGGTACAGAGGGTAAGTGAATGCAACTGTATGAAATAAAAAGTAATAACTGAAAGAAAGGGAAAGTTGATAGCACAGTATATAAATCTGAAGTTAGGAATTGTAGCAAATTGCTAAGGGAAACAAAAGGACACAAGGAGACCTCTATAGCCAGCAAAATTAAGGACAATAAAAAGGAGTTTTAAAAATGTATTTAGGAAAAATAATCCTGACAATGGTATTGATTCATTACTAGATAGAAATGGCAGAATTATTAATAATAATGCAGAAAAGGCAGACGTGTTCAATAACATGCATCCAAGAGTTTTAAAAGAACTTGGGCCATTAACATTGATTTCTATTAAATCTTGGAACGCTAAGGAAGTTCCAGAAGACTAAAAGAAAACTAATGTGCCAATTTTAAAAAATAGGTAATTATAGGCCTGTCTGCCTGATATTGACCCCAGGCAAGATAATGGAGCAACTGATACAGGACTTGATTAATAAAGAATTAAAGGAGGATAATATAACAAACACGTATTGATTTGCATTAATGGAAAACAGCTGCTGTCAAACTAACTTGATATCCCTTTTGAGAGACTACAGGTCTGGTTATTAAAGATAATAGGGTTGACATAACGTAACTTAAGCTTCTGTAAGGTATATGATTTAGTACCCCTCAACATTTTGATTAAAAGCTAAAATGATATAAAACGAACATGGCATTCATTAAATTGATTAAAACCTGGCTAACTGATCGGTCTCACAGTGTAATCGTAAATGGGGAATCGTCATAGCAGGTGTTTCCAGTGGAGTCCCACAGGGATCAGTTCTGTACTTTTTAATATTTTTATCAATGACCTGGAAGAAAACATAATCACATAAAATTGAAGGAGTGGAAAATAATGAAGAGAACCCGTCACTGATTCAGAGGGATTGGGGTTGTTCGATAAACTGGGCTCAAGCAAACAATATATCTTAAAAACAAAGAATCTAGGCTATACTTTCAGGATGGAGCATTCTGTCCTAGGAAGCAGTGACTGTGAAAAACATTTGGGGGTCATGATGGATAATCAGCTGAACATGAGCCCCAGTAAGATACTATGGCCAAAAGAGCTAATGCAATGCTGGGGTGCATAAACAGGGGAATCTTGAGTAGGAGTAGAAGAGGTTATTTTATCTCTGTGTTTGGCAATGGTACAACTGCTGCTGGAAGACTGTATCCAGTTTTGGTGCCTGCAACTAAAAAGGATGGTGTTAATTTGGAGAGGGCTCAGAGAAGAGCAAAGAATGAGCAAAGAATTGGAAAACATGCTTTATAGAGTCCGACTCAAAGAGCTGAATCTATTTATCTGAACAAAGATAAGGTTAAAGAGTGACTTGATTAGTCTTATAAATACCTACATGGGGAAACAAATCTTTAATAATGGGCTCTTCAATCTAACAGAGAGGAATAACACCATCCAATGACTAGAAGTTGAAGCTAGACAAATTCAGACTGGACATAAGGCATGCATTTTTAACAGTGAAAGTAATTAACCATTGGAATAATTTACCAATTATCCATCTTTTTAAATCAAGATGGGATGTTTTTCTAAAAGTTATGATCTAGGAATTATTTTGGGGAATTTTTATGGTCTGTTATAGAGAAGGTCATTCTAGATGATCAGTGGTCCTTTCTGGCCTTGAAATCTATTCCAGTATCCTGTCTCTAACAGTATCCAGTACTGTACCAGCAACTTCAGAGGAAGATACAAGGAACCCTGCAATAGGCAGTTATGAGAGAACCTGCCTATTGTGGGTCTTACCTCATAGCATGCCCCACTTGTCCAGAAGTGACTCACCAGCAAACCGACTTTTGGGGTTGGGTGTGGGGTTGCTGGGCCTTCCCCTTAGTTACTACCTCCTCGTGGCCGCATCTGGGCCTTCAATGGCTTAGCCCTCTGGCTAGGTCACTTAAAAGTTCATTGCCCTTCTGGGGTACTCAAAGTCCCAAAATAAATAATCCCTTCAACGATAGACCCACGTTACTATAAACAAAGTCTTTCACCCTTCCTGGGTTCAACCTACAGTTTGCTGTTCCTCTTATGGACTGCTTCCCTGGAGCCTGGGCAACCCAGGAAGTTATTGCTTCCTTCCTTGAGCTGGATGTCCTGGCTTTCCTCCTGGAACTGTGTGTACTTTTCATTAGTCACTGTCTCTTAAGTCAAGAATCCCAGCCCTCTTCCTGGAGCTGGGTAATTCAGGCTGTTATTACCTCCTTCCTTAAGTCAGGAGTCTCTCATTTTCCTCCTGGAGCAGGGTGTCCTTTAACATGCTGTAGAGCCATACCCAGCTTCTTCCTCAGATGACCCTGCTTAGTCCAGAGGATTTCACACCCTTCCCCTGCTGGTTACTGCCCAGTTAGATGGGAATAAGCAGCATACATGCTAATCCCCATTGCCCAGCTCATTCCTGATTGGTCAGATGGGAGAGGACCCTTACCCCACCCTCCCTACAGGGCTCCTGGCCCCAAACCCTTGAAGATACAGTGATGGGATTTTCTCCCAAGCATCACTTATTCCCCATACCACTTCCTCGCTACCCACATTCCTTTTAGGTCCTTATACTAGACATTTCAAACTCTTAAAGGGTCACTTGGTGGGGGGGGGCAGTCCACTAAATGTTATTACCTTTAAGGGACAGATTGCCACATCACAAAGCCACTAGAGAAAGTTTCCTTTTAATCCTCCAGTAGTTAAGGGTTGGCTTTATGTCCTGAAGCATGAGAATATATATATCCTTTCCTACTTTGCTTGTTAGTCTCTCTTGATCTCTACTCCCTGTTGAATTTGTAAACATTTATATTGTGAAGATTTATTTTATAAATGTAAAACATTTTCATAATCATTTGCTTTGTGATCAAGCTCACTAGGGAACAGGAGAGGGGCAGAGACTTGGAGCATTGACATGAAGGAGGGACATTGGGTTGTGAGAAGTATGGGAAAGGCTGTAGAACTGGGAAACTGGTGTGTAGCAGTGTGTGGAGCCAGGGATCCTGGACCCATAAAGGGCTTGGGAGCAGGGTTCCCTATTGCCCAGATTTCCTATTTCCTCTACACCTGCTGGTCTCCCCCCACCCCTCAGCAGATCCTGTTTCTTTTTTCTCCCAAATTGTCCTCTGCACTTTAGTTCTTGCTTGTTTTCTCTTCCCAGATATCCACCAACTGCATAAGGGTAGACAATGGGATTCTTAGTCTGACAAATCTTCTCTCTCTTCCCCCCCCCCCCAATTAACCATGGCAAGTTCATCATACAAAAACTGTCTCAGTAACGGACCTCTACTTATTAGTACTTTACTTTGTTGGTAACCTCCCCCGCCTTTTCTTCCCCACCATTTCTCAGCTCCTAGCAGCAGCAGTGGACTGAGTGGGGGAAAATTGCTTGGTATAGAAGAAATCAGAATAAATAACTTAACCAGGGTAGGGAGTAGAGCAATACTGGATTAGGGAAATCCCACCTCTCAACATGTGCAAGGCATGCTCCTAGTGGAGGCACAGTTTAAAAGGACACTGGTAGCCCGAGAGAAGGGGGGGTGAGGCTGGAGCCAGCATTGGCACTAGCACCAAGCAAGACTGATACTGAGAGCTGTGCAGGTAATGGCAACAGCGTTGTGAAGGCTGTGCTAGCAGCAGGGACTTGTGTTCCTCACTGTCTCTTTGGGAGTTGAAAGCCCTAAGAGAAATTGACCGACTGAACAGGACACTAAGAGACTGAGGAGAGTTTGCGAAGCCAGTGACTGCACCCCCAAACTGAGGAGCTCCAGACTGGTAGGAAGTGACCAAGGGGAAACCTAATTTGGGATAGCTAAGTAAGTGGGCTGGACACTCCTAGGGCCCTGGGACAGGACCTG